CGAATAAGTTCAATTTATCATTGCGCTCTACTCAAAACCACTCACCCACTCCTATCTTCACCCCCAAAATATATTCCGATCGAGTTGACGACACATGGAAAATATCACGAGTAAAAAAGTTAGAAGAATATTCCAGGAATGAAGCATACTCTGTCCTAATCCATGCAAAATGTCAATAAATCCAGCTCTGCCAGCATACTTTCCAAATGCAAGTAACCTCTTTCCATGATCTCCAACCATAAGCTCGTAATCATATAATGTCGCCTTTACTGATAAGATCTGAATGCCAGATAGAAAATTAGAAGAAGACTAATGGCCAAAAGGAATCTAAAGTTATCGATAAAAGAATCAACAGGTGTGGTACTTTATCTAGTAACGGCATGTTTTCGTTTTGCGCCTTGTGAGTGTGGGAGAAGAAGGCATAAGCTCTATCAGGAAAAATCATCTCCAGCTGCAAAAAACCTGAATAATTATCTCCAATTTACAACAAACAAAAGGGGAAGAAGTTAAACGTAAAGAATTTATCTCACCTTGGGTTGTTTGACTCCCACGATGAGGCCGCATTCTGACAAATCATCAGAAATCTCACAGCCTACATCCTTATACTGTGCATCGTGATAAATGCGTTTGGGCGATGGCTGAACAATTATACGAGATATTCCAGTTTTATGCCTTCCTCCGTGCAAAAGTCGAGCACAGTGTGCTGGGGATAGAGGCACCCTTCTTTCCCACTTATTACAGGACTCCGATAGAATCCCAACGACTCCATTCCCGATCATGGTGACCACTGCAGTGGACAAAATCGTACAATGAACATCGCTTCTGTTTACATTCAGCCGATATTAATAGACAGCCACACCTACAACTCTGTTCTTATATTTTACCAAGGAGCGGGTCACTAAAACCACTAAGCCACCGAATGGCTCTACATGTACAGTACAGAATAGATTAATCTATAAAACTGCAGATAACCAGAAACGTTATAAATTGCTTATGCTCTTTCTCATCGATGTTCTCTTGGAACTGATTCTAATCTGTACGTTTTAATTTACTTCGCTTCGCCAATGATGTAGAATTAAAGTATTGCTAAAAGAAGATTTCTCCAGATATACACAGCATTCAGGATGCTGTCTTCCACTTGCATTATGATCCTTCAGATTCATACACATGCATCAATAAAACAGAACAAAAACGAGTTTCCTCAAACATAAATAAACGCTCTGCCTCAATCTCGCATATATCAAACCAAATGCACGTAAAAAATAGTACAATCATACACATAAGCAACACACGTTACCGAATAAACGAGAACAATTGAATCCTCAGCGTAAAATTCGAACAAACAGAGATGTCCACCGTCGATCGTCGTAAAAAAAATCGCCAAATCCCGACCGCAGGTCCGCGTCCGCTTCTCTACAGCGTTGTAAATGACAGAAGCAGAATCGCCGAGAGAGATTAGAACAACCGCAGGAAATCAAATCAACAACATTCAATGGCGTGTGATCGATCGAGAGATTTACAAAATCACCGTCGCCTCACCAAGAGCACCGTGGTCCGCTTCGCGACGAAACAAATGCGTGGCGAGAAGATAACTTGCAGTGTACGTATGTTTCATTGCTTGAAAATGGTTACGTCGGCCATGGCTTCGTGGAGGAGTTCACGGAGAGCGCTTTCAGTCTGAAGTCTGAACAGAAAGAGAGAGAAAAACGACGAAATTTGTGGACGAGGACAAGTTAAACTAGAAAATTACAAGCAAGATCAGCAATTTGTACACGTGGAGGAAGGTGGTGGGCCCCGCCAGCTAATAAATTATTAAAAACTTTTTTTCTCCTTTTGGGATTTGCGTGACCGTTTCGGCCACGTAAGTATTTTTCCACGTGTATTATAATCAATTGCGCTTATCGTCAGACTGTTGATAATTCCAATTCATAATTAAAAAAGAAGCTTAATGGATAAGTGACGGCCAATTTTTTAATGGTTAGTTGTATTAATATTAAATTATATATTTACTTTTGTATTTATAGAGTTGCATTTATAATTTATCCAAAATTTTCGATTTTATCCCATTGGTCTCGGGTTTTAATTCCAGCCCTATACTTCTTTTAAAGTTTTAACTGGCGGTTCTCTATATTTTTTGATGGTTTCGGATTTGTTTTATGTAATTTAGTTACTTGTAAATCATCCTTAAATACACGTAAAAATTCAATATTCTTCTCCCTATTTTTGTTACCATTCGTGTTTCTATCAAAAAAAAATCCGTGATGAGATTCTTCTGAGTAATGAGACTTGCAAGTAAATAAAAGACACTCTGACACTTAAATCAGTTGTAGCTTCAAAACTTTAGGTCGGTTTATAATTACATATATAAGGATCCCAGAGTTGATCTTAGAAGTTATTATTATGCTTGAATTATTCTTGAACGCACATGTGATATTTTGGCTTGCAGCTCAACTCTTGGCTTCTGTCCTCATTCCACTAGTCGATGTCTACATATGATCTATGTTGCATGTGCCTCAACAATATAAATAAAAAACATATCATATATTAATATGGTAATTACTTGTAACCATAAGTAGAATTTTCTTTTTAAATTTGGCTTAAGATTTTTAATAAGACTAAACGTGGACAAAACAAAGAAGTGTGAGAAAAATTTTAATTTTAAAAACATAAGATTAAAAATGAATTATTTATCAACCCAAGTGTCTTACTTTTTAAGCTTTTAAATAAAAACAAAAACTAAGGATGCAAATGATTTAAAAACAAAAATCTGGAAATAGGTGACTCGATGAAAAGATAATTATATAATTTCATGTTTACATATATGTGTTAGGTAGTATATATGAAAATTGTATCTAAATTAAAACAAAAATAATCAAGATGTTTTGTAAATTTTGTTACCTACTAAATATTTAATTTAATCTAAAATATTATTAATTAATTTATTAAGCTAAGTGTTATGAATTTGGATAGAATTAGTATTTTACGATATTATATAATTTATATTTTAAATATTTTGATTTTAACAAAAAGGTTTAAAATATGAAATATTACATTTATCAAAATTTTTATCTTTTTAAATATAATTATTTATGCAGGTTAAAGTTCTTTATTCAAAATCTAAAAATACTAAAAATATTTATAAAAAAAAATTGTTTTCATAATTTTTGGATTATAGAATAAAAAACAAATTTCGAAAACATCTACTATTGATGGATTCGTGAATCAGAAAGCAAGAAACAGAAATTTTGATGGATTTGAGTTTGCATGACGGGGCACGTAGTCGTACCAACGATTTTGATCATGTCATTGACTTTCTATGTTTTTTGTTTTCCAACAGGTGTCTAGTTG